GTAGTTTGCTGCCTCCGTCGAAGATCGCCGCCGCCATCGAGCCCTAAAGTTCGTCGCCGTCGTCGACCCTGTACTTTTCCGTCGAATCCCCAAAAGAAAAACCCTAGTTCTTCCTCCCAAATCGGACCTCGCCGCCTCTCCTCCTCATCTTCGCCGGACACTTGACTTGTAAGTCCTCTAATTCTCAAGTTCATTCTCACAGCTCGATCTACGGTCTCTTATTTTCGATCCATGTTCCTAAGAAAATTTTTTATAAAAAACGAAAATTTTGAGAAAAGCTGTAAATATTTTAAATGTAACCAAGAAGGACGTTATGTTAACTAATGTCCTATGAATATCAAAGAAAAAGTCTTAATCAATTTAGAAGAATATGGAATAAATATTAGAACTATGGAATACCTTCTCAGTCATTTTAATTCTTCGCTTTTAAGACTTCTGGATTAAGTTTGATATCTACTAGCTTATCTATAATAGACTGAGATCTTAAAAGCTTATTAGATGATGAGTTAGAACTTGCTTCATCTTCTATCTTTGTAGTGGTTAGGATGATGTTTCGTTTATCTGTAAAGTATTCAATTGGTACTTGTACCTTTGGTTTTAGTGTTTTTATAAAAATTTGAATATCATCATTTATCTTGAGATGTCTAAGATAAACTAATTTAGGTTGAATAGTTTTTCCAGTTCTAACTTCATGTAATTTAATAAAATTTTTGTGGTTATAGATTTAAGAGTTGAAGTATCATTTAAGGCTATACAATATTCCCATTGTATTATCAGATTTTTGATCCTGGTACTAATCCCTTTTAAGTTCATAGATAGTGTACAAGCTTTATGAGTGTTTGTATCATCTAAACTCACATAGAAATCTGGATGTATATTTACACTAAATAATCTATTGCCTAAATTAGATTAGAAACCACCAATAATAATATTTATACCAATTTGATCTATTATTCTCGGTGGTGTTTCTATTTCTTTCTTCAGATTTTTCTGGAACAAATGATTATACTTGTTATGACATGGTTCTAGATCTGTTAATCTTGTGAATCTATTTCTTGGTAACATTAACATGGTCCTGGTTATTGAATTATTCTTGGTTAGGTTATCATGGCCCGTGACTATATCAGGGTTAAGGACTGGATGTATGTGAATCGTGAAAAACGCACAAAGCCTGAGTTCATTGAAGGAGTTGCTTCTTTTATGAACTTTTTACGTGAACATGATAAGATCCAACATGGCATGATTCTTTATCCGTGTAGCCATTGCGGGAATACTTTGCATCGTAAAGAGGAAGATGTAGAACTTCGCATTGTTAAGTATAGTTTTATTAGAGGTTATACAACTTGGGTATATCACGGAGAAATTCTAACTCCCATTAATGCCGAAGAAGAAGAAGAAGTTGACGATATTAACTTGTTTCCGGAAGAGGAGATGGAGGAAATGGTAGAGGTTGCTTTCGATGACCCTAATCATGTTGAAGATAGTCCTCCCAGACAAGAACAATATGTAGATGAGTATAAGAAGTACATGAATGATGCTAGGAGACCGATTTATGAGAATGCAAAACATTCCACGCTGTCATGGTTCGTTCAACTTTTCCAGATTAAGTGCCTAAACAAATGGAGCAACAAGTCCTTCACGATGCTTCTAAAATTTCTGAAAGATTCTATGCCTATTGGGAACAATGTCCCTGATAGCTGGTATGAAGCTCAAAAGATAATGTCTAATCTGGGTTTAAAAACTCATATAAGAAAGAGTGTCCTACTTGTGGGGTGTCCAGATATAAGAAGAAGGCACATACTAGCAAGAATGACATACCTCTCAAGGTAGTATGATACTTTCCTATTACACAGTGGCTTTAGAGACTTTACAAGTGTAAGAAGACAGCGGTGGCAATGACCTGGCATGATCGTGCTCTTCCAAGTGAAGATGGAAAAATGAGTCATCCAAGAGATTCACCTGCATGGAAGAATTTTGACAAGTTATATCCGATATTTAGTCAGGATCCTCGTAATATCAGGCTTGGACTAGCTAGTGATGGCTTTTGCCCCTTTAGTTTTAATGGTAATCCACACAGCACATGGCCGGTTGTAATGATGATTTATAATCTCTCACCGTGGCTGGCTATGGATCAATTATATTTTATGATGCCTCTTTTAATTGATAGACCCAGTTCACCAGGAAATAATATTGACGTTTATCTCCGACCTCTCATCGAAGAGTTACGGTCTTTATTCATTGATGGTGTGGAGACATATGATGTAGATAAAGGGGAAACCTTCATAATGCGTGCAGCCTTAATGTGGACAATTAATGATTTTCCTGCATATGGAATGCTATCAAGATATTCTGTACATGGTTATAAAGCATGTCCATATTGCCACGTGGATACAACATCGACATGGTTGCCTTTTAGCAAAAAGATATGTTATTGTGGTCATCGACGTATGTTAAAAGAAGACCATCTCTATAGGAATGATGATGTTCACTTTGATGGTACTACAGAGCACTGAAAGGCTCTAGTCCCCTTATCTGGAGCGGACATACTTGCTCAATGGAATGATTATGAAAATGTTATTTTTGGAAAAGTAAAGGAAAGACAGGAAAAGCCACATGGATGGAATAAGAAAAGTATTTTCTTTGAACTACCGTATTGGGTGACAAATACAATGTGTCACAATTTGGACGTCATGCACATTTAGAAGGGGGTATCTGAGCACATACTTAACTTGCTTCTTTGTAAAGATGGAAAATCGAAAGATAACCTACAAGCTCTGAGGGATCTACAACACTTAAACATTAGAAAAGAGTTGCACCCTATACCTAAATTAGGTAAACTAGGAAAATTTGTACTCCCCAATGCCGTTTATCATATGTCAAAACTAGAAAAGAAAATATTTTTGGAGGTATTGCATGAGCTGAAGGCTCCTATAGGGTTTTCTGGATCATTTAATAAGAAGATAAAGACTGTAAAAGGCAAGATAGATGGGTTGAAGAGTCACGATCACCATGTTATTATGGAGCACCTTCTCCAACTATCCCTTAGGGCTTCGCTTCCTGAATCTGTTGGTTTAGTGATCAATAAACTTTGCAGCTTTTTTAGGTAATTGTGTGCTAAAACCATTGAGGACAATGAGTTGAAGAAGCTACAAGAAGCAATTCCCTTAATATTGTGCAAGCTTGAGCGGATTTTTTCACCATCATTCTTTGATATTATAATACACCTGACTGTTCATCTTGCAACCGAAGCAAGGCTTGCTGGACCAGTACAATATCGGTGGATGTATCCTATAGAAAGGTGTTTCTCTTTTTTCTTTGACACAACAAATATAACTTTTCTATTTTATATGTTTTTATGTAGTAATCTAATACTAGTATTTGTAGGTACCTTCTCACTCTAAAAAATTACATTCGGAATAGAAATCGGCCAGAGGGTTCTATAATGGAAGGTTATCTCCTGGAGGAGGTAACGACATTTTGTTCTCGTTATTTGGATGAAAACATAGAGACTAAGCTCAATAGGCCTGTGCGTATTCGTGATGGAACACGTGGCAAACCAACTTACATGACAATGGGAATCACATTTATTAATCAAATACATCAATTTATCCTCCTCAATAGCGTTTGCCTTGAGGAAGTTAGAGGGTAAGTCTATTTTGCATTTACTATTATATGTGTATGTATGCATGAAATAATATAATGTTGATGTTAACAATTCATGTTGAGAATAGAATTTATAAGGATGAATTACATGAAGAGCATTGCAATTGGAATGATGAACGGTTGGAGAAGCATCATCAAGAAAATTTTTGTGCCTGGTTTAAAATTTATGTAAGAACTTCTTATATGTCATTGTATTAATCTATAATTTTATCTCTATATTCCTATAATTGGAATGATGAACTATTTTCTCAGGTCCATGATCCAAACTCAGAATTAACATTAGATGATGATTTGGGATGTCTAGCTCGACATCCAAGCCTGGAGGTTGCATACTACAAAGGATTTGGTATAAATGGTTACAAATTTGAAATCAAGGAGATAGAAGAATCTCGGACTACCCAGAATAGTGGAATTGCGGCCATTGGAGCTGAAGGTTTGATTTACTATGGGTATTTGGATAGAATACTTGGTATTCACTATCCGGGAAAAGCCAAACTAGTATATATATTTAAGTGTGTTTGGTATCATACAAGAACCGAACATGGAAAATGGAGAGACACATACGGAACTTGGAAAGATGAATATGGATTGACTAGTGTAAACACTAATTTTTTTTAGTTTGAAGATGAACCATATATATTCCTTGAACAAGCATTTCAAGTATATTACTCAAAATGCTTGAAGCATTCAGGATGGAGTGTTGTTTGTCGATGGAAGCATTTCAAGTATATTACTCAAAATGCTTGAAGCATTCAGGATGGAGTGTTGTTTGTCGATGGAAGCCGAGAGATACCTACGATGTACTCAAAATGCTTGAAGCATTCAGGATGGAGTGTTGTTTGTCGATGGAAGCCGAGAGATACCTACGATGTAAAACAATTCACAGATGTTGACATAGAGGACAACATTGAGATAGATTCTGATGATGAAGGACTTAGATTGCTACAACCTACTATTTCCATAGTTTAAAATGTATCTCGAGTTGAGTGTGAGCATGAAGTTTCATGGGTTTGGAATGATTTCGATGACGAAATCGTTGTGGATATTCCTACAACATCTAAGGAGTCTGTTAAAAGAAAAAGGTAATAATCATTGAAAATATCCATATGTTAGTATTTTCATATATATATTTACATACATGTAAAAATAAAAAAAGGTAATAATCATTGAAAATCATCTAGAAATTTACACATGTATTGCACGCATCTCATATATATATTTACTCTTGTTTATATATATTTACTCTTGTTTAGGGGTTGACAAAGATGTCTAGTCGAGGACCATCAAAGTCCAAAACTAGATGGATGGCGCCTAGGAAGATCTTGCATCAAGCAAGGGAGTGTCAGAGAGAGCTAGAAGGCGCTCGTCGTTCCATATCTATCCCTAGTGTCCCTCCCTCTACATCCTTTTGCACCAACGATAGAGAGATGGATCATATTACCCCAGAGTCTTCTTATAGGGTAGATTTTGCATCTTCCCGTGCAGGTTAGTAGACTTTTATTTTGATTCTTGTTTTGTTTGCATAATATTATTTTTGATATTATATTGTTTTCTTTCAAAATATAGCATGTCAGCCTGAGGAGCATGATTTGCCGACCTCTACACACTCTATACCATCTGTACACTCGATGGGTAAGTATTATTTAATGCATTAATAGCAAATGTATTTTGTTAATGCATTAATGTCAAATGTATTTTGTATTATTTTATCCAGATGGTACTTATATTGTTAATGCATTAATGTCAAATGTATTTTGTATTATTTTATCCAGATGGTACTTATATTATTACATTTTGTTATATAGTTGGAGAGGATGCCTCTGCATCCGTATCAGCAGCTCGTCCTTTACATTTGAGAAACTATCATCCTAATCGTGCTGCTAAATGTGGAGAGAAGCGTGCTACAAGAGCTGAAGGTATCTATATCATTTGATTTTATTATTGTTAATATCCTTTTTATTTTCTAGTATCCTTTCTTGTTTCATATTTTTAGATGCAGGGCTACCACGGGCATGTAAGAAGACTCGGGGGAAGTATAAAGCCCATCGATTGGCTCCGAGTTCCGAGATAGATGAACCGGCATTTCCTTTGAATTTTGATGAGGAGTTTCACATAATTGGCTCCAATGCTGAGCGATTTGGGCAGTATATTAGGCAGAAAAGCCGTCAATTTACGGACTTTCCACTTCATCTGAATTGGTGTGCGCATCATGAGCGTTCATTTGAAATATTCTTTCTCCAAGCTTAGGTTTAGAGACATTTTTAATTTGTAAAATCAAGATAATTTAGTATCATTTGGTACCTATCTACCCTAAAACATTAATTTTGTTGAATATGCAGAAAGATTATGAGTTTTTGCCCCAAGATCCTTATTGTCCACTCAACCTTCCTGTTATCTACCGAGGCATAAAGACAAAGATGCAGAAGAGGGTCCGAGGCAATCAAAATCAGGTGAAGATGGAGTGCTCTGAACTATGGTTGAAGACCCCAGAAGAGAAGAGACGTGCTCTCTTCCAGGAAAAGGTGTTTGAAGGGATTGATGAAAATTGGTGGGGTGACCTATGCTCGTTTTATTCTTCTAAGAGCAAACAGGTATATATTTAATAATAAATATGATGTCTAGTATATACTTAGTATTAGATTGAAATCTAATTCTTACTTTTATGTGTAGCGAGATCGAGCAACCTATATAGGTGGCTTGAGGAGCATAGTTCGAGCAAAATAGAAAGTGGTATAAAGTATTCTTTGAGTTTTTAAAAAAAATGCATTTCTTTATTTATAATATGATATGTTATACATATTTTTTTTTGTTGAGTTACAGAGATCTCAAATCGAAGAATCAGGTGGCTCCTCAAGTGCCTTGAAGGAGTATTTGGGTACCCACGCGACATTAGTGGATCCAAATGGTGACACATACTCGTGTATATACCTGACACCCAAACTCAAGAGTATTGCATAAGTGTTTATTTTTTGACGAATTCAAACGATTTTCTTAAGTATATTTATAATAATATTGTTGAGTAACATTTGAATACTTTACGTGATATAGGACCGGGTGATAGAAAAGGCAAAATCATTAGGTGTCGACCAAGAACCCAAGTTTGCCGCGATGATCAAAGTTTTAGATGAGGTACATGAAGGGCATCACGGTAGTTATGAGAGAGGCTTGGGTCATGGTGTCAGTAGACATTATTTGAAGACTTCCTACACTCCGATATTTGCCACTCCTCCTGATGTCCTTCGCGAGATGGCTGAGCTTAAGTCCAAGATGGAACGACTTACCCAACTAGTATGTATGCAAAAAAACCTCAATATTATCTCATTCCCTTACAACCTCAATATTTATAAAGTATGTCTCTTTCCTATCAATATATACAGATTCTTTTGTGCGCGCTTGACTAATCAAACCTATAAGTTCTAATGTAGACATCAATCACAATATTTGCGTAAGTGTTCATTTTTCGACGAATCCAAATGGCGACATATACTAATGATATTACTAACACCGCTATAGTTTTTATAACATCAATGTCTACTAAAGCTGGGGGATTTCTGCACCATTGGTCTTTGTAAATTAATTGGGGTTTTCACTCGATTTCGACTGGGGCAAGATCCTTAACGTTTTTTTTTTGTTACGTTTTCTCCGGTTTGAACTAGTGATGAGAATACTTTGGTTTTTTAGTTGAAAGCTTTACCTTAGGATTCCCGCTGTGTATCTCTTTGTAGATACAATAGATGGTTAGATTCCACCGTATATTTGGGCAAAAGAATTTATATGTAACACTATTGTGATAATGTATTTCAAACTCAACTTTGAAGCCAAATTCAACTCTAAAGTTCCTGTGCTTTTAGCCCAGTCGTTATACAGGTTTGATTCATGTTTGAATTAGAAAATTTTAGAATAGAACTACTTGTATTTATTACCCATGAAGACTCAGGAAGTTGAGGGAACGGGTTATCGCCTAATTAAGTTAATCATGGCATCTTGAGAGTTCTCTTCTGCAATCAAAGACACTAGTCATGTATTACATCCAATGGAACTCCTTTAAAATGGATCAATGATACTGATTTGCAATAAGTGTATCTAAGAAAACATATACATATTGTACAAACTGTTATTTGGTTTATTGTGATCAAGGTGGTTAGGATTGGACCATTCCCCTTCCTTTATTTGATAATTTTGAATAATCTTCTGTTGGTTGATTATTTGATCCAGTTATTGTTGAAACTTTGGCTGGGTCGCACAAGTCTTCTTTTTGTACATTTGTTTATGATGCAAAACTTATGTTGCCATTGATTGGCAATGTTGGATGAATGCTCTGGATAGCATGCATAATGCATTTTGAAAATGATTAGCTACTGTTTAGTAACTCGGTTTTGAACAAAAAAATCTGAGTATTCATGTTTGGATATACTTAGTCAGCCGCATTCATGTCACAAATGCTTCAACACTACAAATGCATGTCATAAATTATTCATACAACAAAAGGCTTTTTATTAAGCTTAAGTTTACATGTTTGGATATACTTAGTGTGAATTCGATTTATTTTACAGATTGATTCTCAGACCACTCGTCCACCACCTGTTATTCCTGCTACTACTCCCCTGACTTTATCTCATCATTCTCCAGATGCTCAGGGTTCTACATTAGCTGCTTAATGTTCTCCTCAGGATATTTTGACACAAAACCCTCTTGCTAGTTGAATGGGAGGCGTGCTGGGGGGCATGCTGGGGGGTGTCTTAGGGAGCTTTACACAGGAGGGCTATAGCGAGGAGGACATCCGCAAAGCTTTTGCTGATTATATTTGATTAAATCACCCGTGATTTGTACTTTTAATTAACATACTTAAGACATTTGTATATTTCAGATATCCTCTTTTGGGACTTGAGTAATTTATAAGTTGTTGTATTTTGGTTCTAGTCAGTCTTTTAATTTATACGTGGGAATATATATGTTGTGAACAGGTATATTATATATTTTTGTGGGAAATGTTATATGTAAACGTTGATATGTTGTGAACAGGTATATTATATATTTTTGTGGGAAATGTTATATGTAAACGTTGTAGGCAAAAGTGAAAAAAAGGGAAAACACAAGCACCAACGGTTGGGACCATTGGTGAAAGTTTTGAAACAGTTAATGCACAAAATTTGCACCAACGGTTGTAACCGTTGGTGCACAAAGTTGCACCAACGGTTACACCCGTTAGTGCTGTTGTGTTGCACCAACGGTTACTACCGTTGGTGTAAACAACAGCACCAACGGTTGTAACCGTTGGTGCAACATTTTTTGCACCAACGGTTGTAACCGTTGGTGCTGTTATTTGCACCAACGGTTGTAACCGTTGGTGCCATTTTTTTCATGATTTATTTTTTTTAAATATTTAATTATATTTATACTTGTACCAACGGGTGGAACCGTTAGTGCAGAAATTACACCCATTGGGATAGTTTCAGCCCCAACGCTACTTGCTGTAACGGGTGTTTTATCTGCCCCAACGGTTCCAACCGTTGTGGATACTATCTGCCCCAACGGTTACAACCGTTGGGGCAGGCCTTCTTTGTAGTAGTGTTGTTGGAAAGCTACTGAAGATATCTACAACTTTGATATTTTACATTTTTCCATATTCACAATGTATCAGTGTGTAAAATACAAAATCTCTCTGCTAATCATAAATTTCCAGATTTATACATCGAGCATGATTTGTGTATTCGCTCTTATATATATACATATATACATTGAATTGATCTCAAATCAATTTCTAGCATAATCAAACATCATAATATGTTATTTATAAATATATAATATATTTATTATTATTTATCACAAAATATTCAAATTTTTGGGGTTTTACATTCTTCCCCCCTTAAAAGAATTTCGTCCTCGAAATTCAGAAATCATACTTAACTGAAAGATAGTATTAGAAAGCATGTCGAGGGTGAAATCCAACCCGCACATACACCTCTCGTAATATTAAACTCTTGATAAACATATAAGGATATTTATACTTAATAATCCAGAATGACTATATTCCCACTCAACCCTTAATCAAATGAAACTAGTACGTCGGGCGAAAAATCCAAACAAGGTACCCCCCATATATATACCATATGTTCCAAAAGATTAAGAATTAAGCGGAAATATCGTCATTCTAGCGTTAAATCTAAATATAACCATACAAATAATCACACATATAAATCAATCCACTTCCTCAATAGGTGCATATAGTCGCGCTGCAAAACATCTTCGCTCTCCCGAGAATCATCCTCAATGTCTACACTTAACCATCTAAAATATAAATACCCCCACTTAACTTCTAACTAAATGGAACAAGTACATCGAGCAAAAATTCCAAACAAGGAACCCCTCATATATATACCATGTGTTCCGAGTATTTAGGAGTTAAGTGTTAATACCCTCATTTTAGTGTTAAGTATAAACATCACCATACATGTAATCCATAAGTTATTTATAAGTCATACAAAAATTTAATTTAACTGTTCAAACATGTGTGGGTAGTCGCGATGTATGTCCTCTTCACGCTCCCAAGAAATCTCCACAACGCCTCTTCGGTTCCATTGAACTTTAACCAAAGGAATTACATTGTTTCTAAGTCTCTTGTCCTCTCTATCAAGTATACCAACTGGAATCTTAATAGTAGTCAAATCATCCTGAATCTCAATCTCTGGTACAACCAACACACGCTGTTGCTCCTCATCATGTAAGTGCTTCTTGAGCATAGAAACATGAAATACATTGTGTATACTAGACATCGATGCTGGAAGATCTAGTCTGTATGACACGGCTCCAATACGCTCCAAAATCTAGAATGGTCCAATATACCTCGGTGCAAGCTTTCCCCGCCTTCCGAATCGTTGAACGCTTTTCATGGGCGATACCTTCAGCATAACTAAATCTCCAATCTGAAACTCCAAAGGTCTTCGTCTCTTATCTGCATAGCTCTTTTTTCGACTCTGAGCGGCTAGAATCCCCTCTCTAATCAATGCTACCTTTTCAGTGGTCTGCCTCACAAGCTCTGGCGCAAGCATTATGCTATCCTCCAGTTCTGCCCAACATATCGGTGATCTACAAGTTCTCCTGTACAATGCTTCGTACGGGGCCATACCGATTATCGCATGATAACTATTGTTATAAGCGAACTCTATCAGTGGAATATGATCCTCCCAGCTACCCTAAAAGTCAATGACACAAGCCCGCAATATGTCTTCCAACACCTGATTTACTCTCTCCGTCTTACCATCCGTCTGTGGGTGGAATACATTGTTGTATGATAGTCTATTGCCAAAAGAATCCTGGAAACTCCTCCAGAAGTGTGAAGTGAACACTGAACCTTGATCCGATATAATCATGTCCGGAACTCCATGAAGTCGAACTATCTCGCGAACAAATATTCTCGCATACGTCTCAGCTGTGTATGTAGTCTTTACTGGAACAAAATGTGCTCACTTCGTCAACTGGTCCACTATCACCTAAACAAAATCATTCCCCTTCCTCGACTTCGGCAACCTTACAATGAAGTCCATAGAAATATTCGTCCACTTCCACTCTGGGATGGGTAAAGGCTAAAGTGTTCCTACCGGCCTCTAATGTTTTGTCTTCACCTGCTGACAGGTAAAATACTTAGCCACATACTCTGTAATCTCTCTACGCATACCACTCCACCAGAAGTGTCTCTTCAGGACATTGTACATCTTAGTGGTCCATGGATGTACTGTGTACCGAGTACGATGTGTTTCATCAAATAACTCCCTCTTCAGCTCGGCATTGGATGGCATAACTAGCCTACCCTTCATCCGTAGACCTCCATCTGCTCTAATGGTCCAATCAGTCTTAGGCTCTTTGGTAATCTTCTCCTTTCGGATTTGAATCTAAGAGTCTTCTAGCTGAGCTCTGACAACTCTGATACTCCAAGATGGCTGCACTAACACAGCTCTCAAAAATGCATTGGTTCCACAAATCTCGAGTCTAGAATCAAATTGGCTAAGAGTAAGAAGATCTCGATACAATGAGCATCTCAAAGCTAAAACCTGATGTCGACGCTTCCTGCTTAAAGCATCTTCTACGACGTTCGTCTTCCCCGGATGATACTGAATCATGAACTCGTAATCCTTGATAAACTCAATCCACCTCCTCCATCTATGGTTGAGCTCCTTATGAGAGAAAAGATACTTCAGACTCTGATAGTCTGTGAACAACTCAAACTGCACTCCATACAAGTAGTGCCTCCATGACTTCAGTGCAAATACCATTGCTGCTAACTCCAAGTCATGAGTGGGATAGTTCTGCTCATGTACCATCAACTGTTGTGAGATATATGCTACCACCCTTTGAGTCTGTATCAAGACGCCTCCTAAACCTACCAATAATGCATCTGTGTAGACCACAAATGTCCTGTCGCTGCTCGGAATAGTCAAAACTGGCGTGTAATCAACTTAGTCTTCAAGGTATCAAAGGCCTTCTGGCACTCCATGCTCCAAATAAACTGTACACCCTTCTTCATAAGACATGTAAGCGGCATCGAAATCTTCGAGAAGTCCTGGATGAACTTCTTGTAACAGCCGGCTAAACCCAAAAAGCTATGAATCTTTGTCACCGTCTTCGGCGGTTCCTAATCAAGAACTGCTGTAACCTTAGCCGGATCTAATGCTATGCCCTCTCTACTGATGACGTGACCGAAAAATATGACTTCTGAATGCCAAAATTCGTACTTGCTAAACTTGGCATATAACTGATGCTCTCGCAGGGTCTATAAAGCTAACCATAGATGCTGCTCATGATCTGCCTTTGATCTCGAATAAATGAGGGTGCTATCGATAAAAACAATCACAAACTGGTCCAAGAAGGGACGAAAAACCCGGCTCATAAAATCCATGAATACCGTGGGTGCATTGGTTAACCCAAATAGCATGACCATAAACTTGAAAGATCCATAACGAGTCAGAAAAGCGGTCTTAGGAATATCCATCTCCCGAACTCGTAACTAATGATAACCAGAACGAAGATCAATCTTTGAGAAATACTTCGCTCCCTGCAACTGATCGAACAAGTCCTCAATCCTAGGTAATGGGTACCTATTCCGGATAGTGACCTTGTTCAACTCTCTATAATCAATACACAAACGCTTAATGTCGTCCTTCTTCTTCACGAAGAGAACCAGCGCTCCCCATGGAGACTGACTCCGATGAATAAAACCCTAAGCTAATAACTCGTCCAACTACGTTTGAAGCTCCCTTATCTCAGCTGGTGCCATGCGATAGGGTGCGGGGGATATCGACGTTGTGCCCAGCTGCAACTCAATATAAAACTCAACCTCTCTCACAGGAGGTAACCTAGGTATGTCCTGAAAGACATCCTGATACTCGGAGATAACTCTAGTCTCTAATAAATCAATACTCTGATCCCGTCGTATCTCCTCCTCGATGTACGCTAGAAACGAATCCTAAAAACGGTTACATTGAGAGGTGGCTACAATCATCTTGGACCCATCAGACGCTCGCAAATTGACTGTCTTCGCAAAGCAATCAATACTAACATGATAGGAAGATAACCAATCCATACCAAGGATAACATTGAACTCGAACATATGCAACACTATCAAATCGACAATGAACTCCGACTCGTCTAAACTAACGGTACACCTCCTACAAACGCTCTCCAGAAGCGATACCTCATCTACAGGGGTGGAAACTGATAAAGGAGTGTTTAGAGGCTGAGCTATGAGTTGGAGTCTAGATATAAAAGCATACGAAATGAAGGAATGTGAAGCTCCTGAATCGAAGAGAATACGGGCGAGACAAAAATTCATAAGGAACGTACCCTCCACTACGGCCTGGCTCCATGATCACGCGGAACTACCGCATACACTCTGCCTATGGCTGAAGACTACTCTACTACTGGTGCTGGAGAAAACGGGACTA